CCTGCTTCTTTTAGGACAAGAATCCTCAAATCTTTCAGGAAGGCCAATCAGAGCAACATGAGGCTGTGTGTTTTGCTTTCACATCCAGTGAGAAACCAGAAATACTTCTTCCTACACTGCAATGAAGAACGTGATATCATTGCTAGAAGCAAGGCCTGTGCTAGATCCTCCTTTCTCCCATTCTGAAATGCCTCTTTTGGGAACTGTAGTCCACAAACAGCAGGCGACTAAAGATGTCTGTGAGGCATGAAAGAAACATCTCAGAATATAAAAAGGTCTATGTTCATGAATTTAAGAAGCAAGCACATCCATGTGCATGTCCTGGTCCCTCACTAAGGAATCTGTAGAGTTCCTCAGCTTGGCAGAGTCATGCGAAAAGTCTGTAAATGGAAGATGTAGAAAGAAAAAGCAAGAAAAATGCAGAGTGTAGAGAAATACAGTTAAGGGTGGACCTACACTCTGGTTCAGCACTTAGTTCATAAGCCTTTAATATATAGCTCCTTTCAACAGGCCTCAGCATTCTTCATAACCTTCATCTTATTTATGATTCCACATCAGGGGAGTGTTACAGCAACCTCATTTTGGGTGGCCAAAATGTTGATGACTGTTTGCATCTGGCAGAAAAGGTCATAGTTGCCTTGACATAAGCATAAAAATTGCTCTTGGCCAGAGCTGCTCCTGGAGAGTCTAGGTAGACAACTGGAATGTGCTGAATGCTGTGTTACTCCATCCTACAAGTGTCAGTCACGCTTTCTCAAGGAGGAATGTTGGTATAAATTCTGCCAGCTCTTCTGGCTGCCTTCCCCACCCAATTCATCCTGCCTGACATGAGTGGTGAGATCTCAGCCAGGGCTTAAGCTCATCAAAGCGGTCCATCACTCATCATCCATATCAGAAATGACAGTGATGTAGAAGCTGAAAGTAATCAGTGAATTTGATGCATCAAAGTCAATGCTCCTGCCTAATATTTCCAGTGTCTTCATATAAAAGCTAAGCCAGATTCAAGGGGATATAAATTAATAGAGGAATACAAATTGATTCTAGACTATAGGTCCTTGTTAATGTCCTCTCCCAAAAGAAACACTAGAACTGCGAACTGTTATCACAGGTACTTTCCTAAGATTTCCTCACTCTTAGAGACAGACACAGTACTTCTATGTGAACTTCTAAATACAGGTGCAATACCACACACTACTGTGTTCTATAATCGACAGTATAAACTAGAGCTGAGTAAAACTATTCTATCATGCTTATTCACTTTTTATAGTCCGACCTGTATGTATACATCTGTATGCGGTTGAGTGTTGGAAATGAAGGTAAGAAAATGAATGCCAAATAGAGCCATTCAGCGTGCAGCTATGCAGAAGGACATTAAATTAAGATTACAGTCAGCATCTGTAATTTTGATGCTTCTTAACATTTGAGAGCCTGTCTTGCAGCTAGCTTTCTTTATATGAAGGGGGGTTTGTTTGCAATTTTTAAGATTCTTTGAAAAGCCAACAAAATCCTCTCAGCAATTCCTCTATGTGGAATCGTACTGACAGCGTGGAGGGGTCATTGACAGGGCTGGAATTTCCACCCAGAGAAAGTAAAACCAGACTGTCACCTTCTGGGTGGACCAGCTTCTAAGGGAACATGAGACAGTCTGAAAGTAAATTTTGCAGATAATCTTTAGATGCAGACAAACGGGAAGTCTGAGCAACTGGGTATAATTTCAAGTCTTGATGGTCACAGATCATGTGTGCTGATTCACAAGTCTTTCTTTTCTTATTTTTCTTTTCTCCCTTGACACATTCATGACCTTTTTTGCTTTATTCCCTCTAGTCCTTTCTTATCTCAAAGCTTCTCTTTCCTGTCTGTCTGCATAGGAAGTCCCATACTCAAACGTTATTCAACATAACACTAAACTTTCTGTTCCCATCCGCGATCTCCCGTTTCTGCTTTTCATCCCCAATTTCCTTGTTCTTCTTTTCTTCCATGGACACAATCCTGGCTCCATGCCCAGCCTCTCCAAATCAGTCCTGTATCTAGTGAGCCTGCTTCCCATCACCCTTCCCACTTGGGGTCTTTGTTTCAATCTTTCCCCTCTTCAAATCAGTTCTCACTAATTCCCATTCCTAACTCTCTCCTTAGGTTGCTCAATCACTTCTCCCTCCTCAGTCTCTCTTCGTCTAGACTGGCTTTTCATCTGATCTGCTCTCTTTTGTAACCACCTACCTCCTCATCCCAACAGAGTCTAAAGGTGACCTATGTCCTTGCACTCATCCTTCCTTGTGGTTTTTCATCTAGCCAGCATGAGTGTTTTCATCCCTGCCTTTGTTCTGTTCTGATCTTGCCAGTCTCACAGTTTTTCATATTACCCCTGTTCTTCCTTACTGATTTTAGATTCTGGTCTCCTTGTCCAAGCAGTTTCTCCTTTTATTTTCTTTTTGACAAAACCCACCAGCTACCATGCTTTTCCAGTTCAAAGTCTTGGTTGTCTCGAGCCACATATCCGAGATCTTCGTCTTTTCTTGCCTGGACTTAAGTTAGATGGTTTCTTGCTCTCTGTTGATCTGGCAGTGGGTGGGCACAGGAGGCACAAGTCATGTGCCAGCTTGCTGCTACTTTTAAAAGCATCTGCAAGGAAATCCTGGGTTGGTAAGGATGCAGAAGGCTCAAGTCATTCTGTGGAGATAATGCAGTTGGCATGCAAAAGAGGGAGCACATGCTCAGGACAGACAGGAATTTTGAGGAATTTATCTGCCAAACTCTACCATATTACTAATGAATAGGGTTTACAATCCAGCCAAATATGGGCAAATGCTTATGTGTCTGGCACCAGGATGCCTCCAGCCTGCCAGCCTTCAAGTCAAAGCATGGAGAAGCTAGCATTTCCAAAAAAGAATTCTTACAACCAATTCATTAACATTGGCAAAACAATGTCTTTTTTCCTAATCTTTTTTCTGGGAAATAGCATAACCATTTTTGCTGAAACCCTCCAAAAAAAATCTAAGCAGAGGCAGACACCCAGCATAAAAATCCACAAAGTTATAAATAACCAGGATAGGGATTTAAAATTAGAAGCATCAGGCAAATTTATAGTATTGGGCAGCATAGTATCGATAACAACCATTTTTATTACTGTAGACCCAAAAATGCTGCTCAGGGACCACAGCTCCACTGGGTTAAATGTGTACAAACATGGAACAGGGATATGTCTACAATATTGTTGTCACAAAGAGCTTATAACTCAAATTTTAGACAACAGAAAGCAGATGGATCCAGACATACGGGGAGTACAAAGAAACAATAAGAAAATACTGGTCAGTGTGACTGGAAAATCATCTCCAGGTACCATTAGTCTACGTATTGTCAAGCTTTTCATAGGTCTTTGGAAATATAAGAGCTTTTAAGGGAAATCAGAATTGATCAGGAGATGATGAGGTAGTTTTGCAGATGCTCACATAGGCATGGGGTCAGGGTGGAGGATGGAGGAATTTAAGCGAAATGAATCAGCCATGCTGTGGACCTCTGGGCAGATGCCATGCAGTGAGAAAGGGCTGATAAGCAGAGGGAGAGCGGACTGGAAAGCAAGCTGGAGCCAAGGAGGGCACCTAGGCTGTTACCCTAATTATTGGGATTGTGGCATGTGCCCATCTCTGTGCAAAGAGGGGACTGTGTGACTTCAGGACCGTTATTCCCCTTTCTTTTCACCTTCTTGGCACCACAAAAAGGAGGGAACACAGATCGCCTGCTTCGCTGTTGTGTGCATGGCAAGGGTGATTATTTTCTGAAGACCCTATTTCTTTGTCCCTCAAGAGAGATTGGTTGGAGGTAAAATAAAAGTCATAGATCGCTCTAATTAAAGTGGGGGATTTTTTTGGGTGTGGGATAAAAGTGACTTTATCAGCTTGATTTCAAAGCCTGAAACTCTCCCTCAGCCTTAATGACGCCCTCCAGCCTCCTCCTCTGCAGCTCAGGAGGCGGCGGCAGCCCCGGGCTGTTCCGTGCAGACGGGTGGGTGTTCAGGGCTGTGAAGGTTTCTTCCCCTTTCCCAGAAAGACGATTGCAAAACAGCAGGGAGAAATCCATGGTTTCAACGCCGATGGAGGGGGCTTCCCTTCAGGCAACCGACCTCGAGGTTGTCGAGCCAGGTTGGCCCTACCTGCACCCCAGGAGCTGCAGCTGTGAGTACAGCTGTAGTAGAGCTGTGGGGCTCTGTACGTATATGCCTTGCAGGAAAAGCCGACCACCTGTGTAAAGCCGTGGCTCCCAACACCGCTGTGGGGGGGAAGCCCTGGGCAGCGGCGTGGCTACCTTGCCGCCCGGGCGGCGGGGGTGCTCGGTGGGCAGCGCCCGGCCGGGCGGCGGGGGCCCCTC